TTCATTAGCTTTTTCATTATGAAATAAATATGTTGTCTTCTCTTCCCCTTGCAAAATGAAAATTTAATTCAGGGACAGAAAGATGTCAAAATAGCCATTGTTGAAAACAGAAATAACATAAAGCTACCAAAAAAGTCATGAAATGGAAGTCAAATTTATAAAACAAGCATACAAATGAATAATTAGTTCAGGTATCATACTTCAGCCAACCTACTTTTAGAGCCTACAAGGAATATTTGTGCAGTTTCCAACTTTTTGTTAGAGGTAATATTAAGTCAGAGTTGTTCAACCACATTACAATTTAGTGTGGAAAAAAAAGAAAAGAATAAAAAAGAGAAAGTGGGGAGGAAGAGCCAACCCGTGGTGACTAGATAATGCAGAAGAAAAACACAGAAGGTGGGAATAAAATAAGGTAAAGCCTGTACTTGTTTTATTATATAAAGTAAATGGGGCCGGGCGCAGTGGCTCACTCCTGTAATCCCAGCACTTTGGGAGGCCAAGGCAGGTGGATCACCTGAGATCAGGAGTTTGAGACCAGGCTAGCCAATATGGTGATAGTGAAACCCCATCTCTACTAAAAATATAAAAATTAACCAGGTGTGGTGGTGGGCATCTGTAAGTCCAGCTACTCAGGAAGTTGAAGCATGAGAATCGCTTGAACCCAGGAGGCAGAGGTTGCAGTGAGCTGAGGTCGCCCCATTATACTCCAGCCTGGGTGACAGAGCAAGACTCCATCTCAAATAACAATAATAATAAAGTAAATGGGACTTCAGGCCACATAAATGTGAACAAATACCCTTAAACCTTTGCAATGGTGAAAATGAAGCCCTATTTATCAAATAAATTCCCCTTTATCCACAACCCATACAAAAGGATAGTGTATGTAATTCAATTATAAAGGCTACATCTGTAAACCACCACAGTATCTTACAACCTTTTATAATAACATTTTAAAAATGGTTATTTACCATGCACTTTTACTGCTAACTGCATTTTATTGTTTTCAAATAAGGTGATAGTCTTATTGAATATTATATTGCTAGGTTAACAAGAACGTTCTAGTACTCAGAAAATTTCATTCCTCAGTTGTGCAGTGTAAACGAGAGTTCAGCCTAAGACTTTTAAATGATGGCATGCCATTAAATCACCTTTGAGGAAGGTCTTTTAGAAAGAAGCCCTTTAGGGGTAGTTTTTTCCATCAAACTAATAGCTCCTTTAGTGCTTTGCTTTGTACATGAGTGGATCTTCGCTGGGGAAACTCTGTTCTTCAACCTTTCAACAGTGGTTCGGCTATAGCAAAGGTAGGACAAAAGTTGTGTTCCTCAACTGAGGCCTCCTGTTCTTTCCCTGATAGTTGAGGGGTTCCTTTACTCTTCCATTTCATTGGTGTGGAGCAGACATTCATGAAGAGCTAAGTGTTTTGCTCTTGCATGAAAAGGTCATGCAAAAGGAAATCAGAAATGGTGACGTGTGTCAGAATTCCCGAATTCCCACTTCACTGTTTAGTTTGTGGAAAACAACAACCCTCCTTTGGCTCAGTTTGTGCTTCTCCTAAGTGTTCCACATGGTGACCTGCCCTAGAGGGATTTGTGTCCACCTGGAATTCTTCCAGCAAGCACACATTCAAAGAGTTGCATTCTGAGGTTAATTTGTGATAAAATATATTTTCATCTAACACATAGTATAGCAAAACAGTTTGCAATCTTAAGCAGAAAATTTTGAAAGTTTCATAAATAAAACTAAGCATTTAGTAGTGACAAATATCATTAACACTTAAAATGTCTTAAAGATAATTATCAATTACTTTTCAAATGGGCCCAGTGGAAAGTGTCTAATTATCCAATATTAAGACTAGAACATTTCAATAAAATAGTGGAAAGTGTACCTATACTGAACTGTTAGAGGATCCATTATGTGAGTAGAGAAGGAAAGGAAATACTAGGACAAGGGTGCCACCTTAGCGCGGGCATGCATGCGCATACGCATACGCATACACACACACACACACACACACACACACACACACACACCCCTTGTTATCCACACAAACTTTGCAAAATACCTGGCCATCTTCGAGGTTTTCACTAGCTTTACTGTGGCATACACCGAGCCCGGATATTTAGTTTTCAGTATCCTCATTATGAGCAGAATTGGCAGTCATCAAGTTGAGGAAAAAAAAGTGAACCAAGTATTTTATCTTATGGTCAGTTTATACTGGTTATTTATATCTGGTCAGAAATAAATCAAAATGTTCAGAATTGGTTTTGGCAAACATGAAAACATCTAGTATAAAGTATCTGCATTAATAATAACCTAATGCATATGCAATTTAATAACATGGTGATGACTATTTGGCCTCCTCAAAAAAACACTAGGGGGAAGAGGAAAACTTCCATTTTCTGTTAAAATTTATATAAGGTATGGACTTCCTATCTGTTCAGTTTTTTAAATATTTTAATTGTAATAAAAGCTTTGCCCTGTTTTATATAAGCAGGAGTTAATTTAGACTGGAGGTATTACACAAAGGAGAAGCAATGAAAATGAGCTAATCTATATTATGTGAGGTAGTTAAGTGCTGTTTTCCAAATTAATATACCAGGAACTGGAGGAGAGACAGGATTTGCCCAAGACATCTTTAGATCTCAGAAGCAATCAGGGAACCTCAGTCCAGCAATCAAGAAACAAAATATAATCTCAGCACTGGGGTCTTGACCTGACACTCACTTCCTCCCTGCCCATGTGATTAAATTTGTCTTTAGATTAACGGGAATCTTCTAAACCATATATGTGTGTGTGTGTATATATATATATATTATTATTATATATATATTATTATATATATAATATATATATTATATATATATTATTATATATATATATATATATAATTCCTGAAAACTAAAACAAAAAAAAGGACATTAACATAGTTAACATAACAATAACGTGGTCTTGATTAATATGCTCAGGAAATGCAAAACACTGATAGAAGCATAAAAATGCAACCCTAATTCTATCCTGCAGCAAAAACGTTTGCTTTTTCTTTAGCAGTTTGATCAAAAAAAAGAAAGAAAATATTTTATTTAGATGAATGCCTGACTATAAACTACCCACTAAGACTACTTCAAAGGTTTCCCCTTCTACCCAACAATAACAAATATGCTCCAAAATATTCCCTTGCTAAGCCAGACTTCTCCATGTAAGAGTCTCACCTTATTTTCCTATTGAGAAACCCGAGGCACAGTTCTTAGGCGACACCCTCAATGATTCAGAAGCAGACAGCAACTGCAGCCCTAACTCCCAAGTCCAGCTTTTTCTTGTAGAATACTTTCCAGAGTTTATGTAGTTTTCAATTTCTTTAAACACAGCTTTCAGTCTTTATAGAAATAAAAACGGTAATATCTCTTACTACATTCTGAAAACTTAAGCTGAAAAAAAAAAAAAACCAGTGTGCCCTACATTTAATTTTTTAATAGAAAACTCTTCTTCCAACAGTGTTCAAAATCCAGGTTAATTATATGACATAAGCGACAAGTAATCTCCATCTTCTCCAGGCTTCTAATCAGTTTCAGAACAGGAGTTTTGGTTAAAGCTCTTCCCTGCCATGAAAACACAAACAGCAATTCAGTACCAAAAAAAAAAAGCGAGAATGTAATAAAATGCAATTACTGTCATAGATCACTAAGCTATACTCCTAAAATCACGAATACTTTCTATTTTTTTCTTTCTTTGAAGGAAAGTTGTTCTGCGCTGTGCTAAAAAAAAGTTTAATCCACTCTACAAAGACCATATGATGCTCTAACCAATCCTGAATCAAATCCATTGATACTTTTTGGGCTACCTGATATATGAAAACTCTGAAACTAAGTGAAAACTGAAAATGCTATATGGATTGTGTGCCTGACATCTTTCTGATGTCTTATTCCTTCTATGAACCTCCTCAGGTTACAGAGCCTGTGTGGACTTTCTTTTGTGTCACAGGGTCTTCTAGTTCAAATCGTCTTTGTTTCATAGACTCTTTGTGTGTATTTTAATGTTAGACAGTGCCCCAGAAGAAACAGAAACATGTAGTCAATCTGCCTATTCCTATAAGGCTCTCCTGAATCCTTCCTTTGGATATCTTAGACTAAAAAAGACTCATTTTTAATTCAATGAACACATTCAGGCAGGTAGGTGGCTTCCAGAGGCTTCTAAAGGGCCTTAGGAAAGACAGAAACATTCCTGTTCTTTCTATTGGATACTACTGAAACGGAGCTGTGGGTCATCTGCTGGCTGAAGAGGCAGAGATGAATGGATTCTCTGGTTTAAAAGGCAGATGCCTGGTGATATTGCTCTGGCTGCATTCAGCAAGACTGGCAGCACCTCCTAGGAGAAAAGTCAGATGTTCAGAGATTTTTAGAGTTATCTCTACCATGCACATGGAATTAGATTTCTAAGCATCTTTCTCCGTTTCCTTAGATATCAGTTTGTCCCTTCTCTTAGAGAGGAACCACGAGCAAAGGAGCCACCTATCAGAGAAAAAGAATTTTGAGTAAAGGGGCAGGGGTTCCACTCAGGGCCATGGGCGTTATTCTGACCCTTCATTAATTTCTTTTATAAGCATGCATGGATTGCTCTGATTTTTCTCTTCTAAAAGCCAAGCCAGAAGATACCTGTCTGGCCCTCCATGAACACACACTTCCACGAAGGCAAGAGTAGGACCAAATATCAATACCAAACTGTAATCCTACCCAATACACTCAGCTAATGCCCACGATGGCCTCTCTTCAAGATAGTTTATTTTGTAACCTATGTCTAGTTATGGATTCTGGGAACAAGAAAAAAATTACAGATTTGCCCAAAATGCATCCTGAGAAAAGCAAATGGGAAAATTAAGATTAACTTGATATAGGCAAGAGATACAGTTTAACGAGATTTGTAATTCAAAGCATACTGAAAAGTATCTACAGAAATGGAATTGAAAGCATATGTTGCAATATGTGAGGACTTATGGCTACTGAAATTTTCTTCAAAGGAACTATCGATGAAAAATATTTTATGGCATCACATCAGTCAGATCACTGGTGAGATCTATGATAACAAGAGAGAAAATATGAAAAGACTATGTGTAGTCCAGGCATCTCTAGTCCAAAACAGACAGTATCTTAGTTTTACAGTTTCTCTGCCACTGGCTATCACTGTCATCTTGAAGGGACATGTAAGGGACAAGTAAGTCCCTTTATGTCTCCAAGATTTCATTTCCTCAAATAAGAAACACCCAATTTACAAAGCCTTTATAAGGAATAAATGAGATAATCTGTGTGGACATGCATAAACTTTGAAGAACTCAACAAATGTTGGTTATCACCGAGACTCCTGTCACATGGACAGGAAATTCTGTGCTCACTGAGGTGTGACATAATTCTAGGGCAAACTGTTCAGTCCGCAGGTCGGGGTAGGGGGCTGTTCCAAAAGCTTACACTTGTTGCTCTTTCACAAAAGCTGCAAACTCAGGATCATTGGCATATAGTTCCAAAACTCTCATTCTCTCTTGAATTTCCTTAAACAAAAAAGAAATAATAGGCCACACATTGCATCAGAAAAACCTCAACAGCCTTTTAAAAGGAGTTCTACTTTTCATAAGGAATTGTTACATTCTGGGCTATTCAGGAGTGTGCTATAAGAAAGAATTACACTTTCAGAGAAATGGAAGGATCTACATACACTACTCTGGATATTACATGTCCTGCTCTAAATCAGACATATTTCTAAGGAAGAAAGGGAGCAAGGAGAGAGTACCAGTTAACAGTGCAAAAAAAAAAAAAGGCCATTGGGTAGGAAATAAGGTACTGCTCAGAATTTAATACTCAGTGCGTATCATACTGACTGGGAGATATGAGATAAAAACCAATTACTAAATATTTTTTACACTTTCTTAAAGTCCATATACATGCACACATACACTCATACACACCCCCACCCGCCACCCACCCCTCCACCCCCACCCCCCCCACACACACAGCAGCAGTAGCTGCAACAACAACAGTACAGCAACATAAATGCAAAGTTTCCCACCTCTCTGGAAAGCTCACTGCTCTCATACATCTGTCTGATTTCTTCTCTGCTCAGCCCACCAATCATGTCTCCGCTAGCGGAGCTGTAGAAAGGATGCTGAGGATAGGGTCCCTCATACTTCTCACATCCAGCCGTGTGACTTTTATACACGGGGTTGTACTTCACAGCATTCTCAATGGATGACAGGCTGTCAGGCTGCCTGCTGAAGCCACTAAAAGAAAGATATGATTGATTCAGCCTCTTGTTTGGATGCTCAACTATGTGAAAGACTATTTACCTGGGACAAGATTTCTCTTGGGGAAGAAAAATAGGTGCACTTTACACACATGGCAGGACGTAACTGTGAAAAACATCCAGATCAATCTCAAAAATTATTTGTCAGGTGTTATCATTATGATTTCCTCACATCCATGGCAAGTGCCCTGTGGATTTGCTCCATGTCGCATTCATCTTACTTGCCATAGCGCCTGGCATTCATAAATGTTGGGAACCATGTCTGCCAGTAGATGGTGCTTCATAAACCGTAGCTTCATCATTCCCAGAGTTATACACATTGAAAATCAGTGTGTAGCCACACAGCAAATCTGACTGAAATATAAATATTAGGGTCTAGGGGAAGCAGGGCCTCAATTAAATTCAACTCAGGTCTACACATATTTACTGAGCATTGATGATGAGCGTAGGACTGTTCTACACACTGGTGATACAAATAATCTGTTATCTCTGCCCTGGATGAGGTTACAGTCTAATGAAAAGTCAGATGCAATAAAAAGTATAATAACAATGATGGAGGTATGTCCCAGGTGCTCCAGGACTTAGCCAAGTTGATGGTGAGGGAAGGTAAACTAGACCTCAATCTGTAGCTCTTATAGACTTTAGACGCACGGAAGCAAAGTACAGTGTGTGATTATGATCCTCGAATCCTTAGTCTAGCAAATGGACCAGGTTTTATTTCCCCATCGATGAAGTAACACTTAACTAAACAGAGAATGAGATTTCATTTATTGACAGATCCTTGCCCAGATTTAAAATCTGGCTTATTACCACTAATATGAGCCAAAGAGGAGCAAGTTGTAACACATCTGGTCCTCCCTGAAGGGAAATTCACCTCTTCTATCTCATCTCCATCTTGCTTCTCCAAATTCTTTCTGGCCATGAAATAGGCATCCTGGCCACACGCAACCATGCCTTTCCTTCAATAAGCCTTGAAGTTCATGCATGCCTCCCTGACTTTGCTCATGCTCATTCAACCAGCTAGAAAGCATCCCAGCCCAAAAGTAGCAAATGTCTACTCTTTCTCTCTAGCAAATTACCACAGCTATCATTAAAACTTTTAAGACTCTTTCCCCAGGCAAAACTTATTTAAACTCATCTAGGCTCCTTAGCATCTTATTCTTAGTGCTACTTCTGTTTTTCTTCAATTTGGCATCCCTTTGAGGACAAGGACCATGTGTTTATTAAAATTCATAGCTCTCTTCCACCCACCCAGCTCCTTGTCCAATATTTGGCAGCTGGTAAGTACTAAATAAATGTGTAAATGGAACATTGTATTCCATTAGAGAGCTCTTTTCCTTATTTACCTGAAGGGCCTCTCTCTTTCGCTCCTGTCATGGTGTGCTTGAAGAGTCCTGATGAAGAAGTAGATGATAGCAGAAAAGATGACAAGAAGTCCAACCACAGAGGCAATAGTGATGCCTATGATCACAGGCTCAGACACAAATTCCTCACAGTGCTTGCCTCGGTACCACCAGTTCTCACCCACACGGCACCTGCAACCAACAGTCACCAAGTCCGATATCTGAATCACTCTGTTCACACTGACAATTAACAGCAGAACCTTCTGAGGGACTAGGGGAAAGTGGAGAAATAAACGCTGACCATGTGAAGCTTCATAAAGAGTTGAACAGACAGGTTAAAAGATCATACAATTTAAGGCAGTGCATAAAGCCCAGCACAGACCTAGTAGGTCCTCAATGACTGTTTGAAAAAAAAAAAAAAAACTGAATAAAAAGCTAAATAGGTTTAAGGAAAGTATTCTACTTAACATCCTTATTTATGGATAACCAAAAAACAAGCCTAGGAAGGAAAGTGACTGGCATTAGGCCATACAATTAGTCTGCTACAGAACTGGGTCTAAAACCCAGGCCTACAGACTCCCCATGTCCTTTCAGTATGCTAAAGATATCCTTCAAACCCTAAGGCCACGGGGAAAGGAAATCACTGCTTTTCTAGGTAATATTAATTTCTCTGGACATGAAGAGACTGTTTTTCTCCTTATAAACTTTATGCTTCTTCATATAGAAGAGTCTGGATTATTTCTACTTATTTCCTGTTTCTGGCATCTATGCCAACGTCTGCTCATTTTGACCTTGCAAACTGTCCTCTATTTTGTGTTTCTCCTCCTTATTCTCAGCATCCTCTCCTCTTCAACCACGCAGTTTTGGTTGTGTGTGGTTAGAAAGTTGATTTGTTTGACTTTGTTTAAGGGGAGTGGGCAGATGACAGTCAGACTAACTGAACCTGCTCATCTTCTCATTAGTTCTACCTTTAGAAAATGGATCTCAGATGTACTTAAAGAAAAATATGTTTGTCACCACTTTGAAAACTTTAAATTTTCGTTTTTCTTTATCTTTGAATGAATACTAAGTAAGAATAAGAGATGCCCAAAACCTTTAAAATTATAATTCAAGTATAACAATAAAACTCATTTTCACATTCAGATATAGGGGAACGTGATCTTATGCCTAAACCTCATTTGAACACGTTGCCTTATCATCACCATTAAAAACTATAATACAAAGATCTCCATCTGCTCCAAGTACTCTCAGTAGGACTTTTTTTTTTTTTGAGATGGAGTTTCAGTCTTGTTGCCCAGGCTGGAGTGCAGTGGCACAATCTCAGCTCACTGCAACCTCTGCCTCCCAGGTTCAAGAGCTTCTCCTGCCTCAGCCCCCCAAGTAGCTGGGATTACAGGCACACGCCACCATATCCAGCTAATTTTTGTATTTTTAGTAGAGATGGGGTTTCACCATGTTGGCCAGGATGGTCTCGATCTCCTGACCTCAGGTGATCCACCCACCTCGGCCTCCCAAAGTGCTGGGATTACAGGCGTGAGCCACTGCATCCGGCCAGTAGGACATATTTAGACAATTTTTTTTTTTACATTCCCTAACAGCATACATTACCGATTTGAAATTCAGCCCTGTTAAACGACTCATCCTCACATGACAGTGAGATGGCTCCCATCTATTGCCTAGATATAACTTCTATAATGCATTCTATAATAAGTATCCTAAAATTATAGGTGCAGGCCCCTTTAGAGGAAATATCTATAGCCTCTAAAGCCAAAATCTGTAACTACAACATACCTACAAATGGCCCCGTGCCCAGGCATAATGTCACACTTTCCATCGTTCAAGCAGAAGTCAGGCTGTAGGTCACAGAGACTCTGACAGGGCCGTTCTTCCACACTCAGGTATCCCGGGAAGCATCTGCACTTTGCTTCTCCACTCCAGGGGTTGACCAGACACTCAGAAAATTCATTACAGGCCTGAAACTTGCAAGGGTTGGCTTCATCACCTAAAACATTAAACAAATAATAATGCAAGAAAATGCAAATCACAGAAATTCAGGTATACAAAGTCCCTCATTTAAAGTTCTCCCCCAGAGGTTGTATATGGGACAACCTCCTTCCAGAACCATTAAAGTACACCATCGCCACCAATACCACACACAAAAATTCTCACTCATCCTAGATTGATAAGCTTTTGTCAAATTTTTGTGCATCCCAGAGCCCAATCATAAAACCCTATGACCTATCTAAGCCTTAACATGTTTTACCTAGGGAGCATGTAGAAGCTTTACAAATCCATGCCATGTAATTGTAGATCTAAGTTAAACACAATCGTAATTGTAGATCTAAATTAAACACAGTTTTCATGGACCATTCATTTCCACCAACCCCCACCTGCTGCAGTTGACCTCCACTCTATATGCACTGCTACACGCCTTGCACAACACTGAGAACAGGAATGGGGAGAGAGAGCTCAAAAGATAACTGGTAAGAGCCTCAGGGATTGGTATAGCCCAATAAGAGCAGCCTAGGAGCAGTCAAGATTTGTGAAAATCAACATTAGGAAAATAAGTCAGCCCTGCACCTCCTGAGGCCATTTCCAACAAAATATTTTTGCCTTCAAACTTAATTTTTCATTGATAGGGTGAGGGAAAATGACTATTTTTAAAAACTAATTAGGATAGTAATCAGTCAAAAAAGACATAAGACATTGACCATGAATGGACCTTCCATCCTGCCACAGTTCCCTCATGCTCTTCACTGGTCAATGGTAATCTGTGAATGGTAAGTGGGCAAATGGTGACGCAGGTATTGAAAACAGGGGAAATAGGTGGAAATGATCCATAGACTCATCTGTATTAAAAAGTATAAAGTTTAGCTAGAAAGCTATAGGGAATAAAAAGAAATAGCATAGTCTCTTGGTTTCCAAAAAAAATGGAAGGATCTATATACATCATGTTTTGAAAAGCAATGATTTCCTTGCTGCTCTGGAAATTGAAGACAATTTTGCACAAGTCTCTGCCCTTGGAGTTTGGAGGATCACTGAAGTTGATCTCCTTTGGCCGCATGTGGTAACAGAGGGAATGTACTGAGTTGAATAGTGTCCCCAGAAGTTCATGTCCATCCAGAACCTCAGAATATGACCTTATTTGGAAATAGAGTATTTGTAGCTGTAATCAAGTTAAGAAGAGGCCATACTAGATTAGAATGAGCCCTAATGCAATGATTGGTGTTCTTACAAGAAGAGGGAAATTTAGACACAGACAAAAACGCACAGGAAAGAAGCTATCTGTAGACAAAGGCAGAGATTAGAGTGATACACCTATAAGCCAAGGGATGCCAAGGATTGCTGGCAAACATCAGAAACCAGGAAAAGGTAAGGAAAGGCTCTTCCCTAGATCTTTCAGAGGAAACAGGGCCTGGCCAACATTTTGATTTTTGACTTCTAGCCTCAAGAACTGTATGAGAATAAATTCCTGTTGTTTTAAGGCACCTAGTTTGTAGTACTTTGTTACAGCAGCCCTAGGAAACTAATACAGGGGACCACTGCCAAGATGCTCACATAACAGGAAAAACATACAAATGTGTTGACAGGTGGGAAATTTCTATAAGGGAACCGCATGGCCAGATTTCACTGTATATTTCCTAAGTCTTCACATCTTTATCCTGGTATTCGTTTTGTGCTTTGCAATCAGAAAATAATCTGATCCTTACCCATTGGTGAGGGATAGGAGTGTCTATAGGAGTGAGGAAGATGGTACTGCATAGCTCTCCTTTGTTAATGGAAGTTCAAGAGCTTCTGAGACACTGCATGTGAAAATAAGTTGGGCAAGAGTCAAGTCAATCTTGTCTCTAGCCAATCTTGAAAAAAAGTACTTTAATCTGAAGGCCTTTAACTAAAAATATAAGATTGAGTATCCCTTATCTAAAATTCTTGGAGAAGTAGTTTGGATTTCAAATTTTTTTGATTTTGGAATATTTGCATTTACATAATGATATATCTTGGGGAGGGAATCCAAGTCTACACACAAAAAAGCTCATTTATGCTTCATATATACCTTATACACATAGACCGAAGGTAATTTTTCACAACATTTTAAATAAATTTGTGCGTAAGACAAAGTTTGTATATACTGAACCACCAGAAAGCAAAGAGGTCACTGTTTCAGCCACCCATGTAGACAGTCTGTGGCTGTTCAGCATCAGCATCACGCTGTGCGTGGAAAAACTGTATCACACTGCAAGGAAGTGTGAGTCTTTTTTCCCCTGGGTCCTCTGAATAAACTGTTGTGCATCTGCGTTTTGACTTCAGCCCATCACATGAGGCCAAGTGAAGACATTTACCCTTGTAGCATCACGTCAGTGCTCAAAAAGTTTCAGACTGGAGCATTTCAGATTTCAGATTTTCATATTAGGAATGCTTAACCACTATACATGTAGTAAAATAATTCTATTAAAAATTTTTGAAACTTTGTAACCATTCTGCAGGTATATGTGTCTGAGGTGAGAAAAATAGAGTCTATCTTTTCTACACATTAGGAAAAAGATAAAATACAGCCTTTTTGCTTCCAGGCCAAGAAGAAAGACAAAGCCTAATATTTTAATCATGTAAATAAAAGATTGTGGTTTCAAAGTGTCTTTCCACTCCTTTGTGCTGGTGAAGAAAGGGTGCCCAGGTAGCTGACTATATGTTAGGAAAAGTGCCTCAGTGATTCTATTGAGGAAACAAAGGTAGAGTTGGAGGTAAATTTAGGATGGGAGACAGGGATCTAAATTGTGGAATTAATTACATTCTGGTTTTCTAGAAGCAGCTTAAAAGAAGGATAGATGGGTCCAGAAAAACGAGAGCAGAGGAAAGATGTGAAGATGGTCTGGAAAGACAGCTTTATGGTCTGAGCAACATTATAGCTGGCTGGGTCCTGGGAAAAAAGTTGGTCAGTAAGAGATGCCCTTGAGAGGGTGGCAGAGGAATTTTAGGATGGTTATGCCTAACTAATATTTTTAGGCCATCTGCCGTGCTGAGATAAAGCCTTCTCCATTACCTTTATACCATCAGCAAATGCCTGATAGAATCAACTGCCTTATGTTAGAGATGCTTTGAGCAGATCAAAAACAGGACTGTGATTTGCATTAGGTTAACACCACAAGAGTCAGGACTCATGTGAGATTGAAAATTCAGCAGAGGAAACTCAGAACTGGGGAGGATTAAGAGATATTTAAGTTCCCTAACAATGCTCAGAAATATTGAGGAGTTAGGGGAACGTAGATGCAGGTTTTATACTGCACAGGGTGGGGCTAATGCAAGCTAATTGAATATTAAAAGTAAAGGCGAGCTTATAAACCTTGATGACATTGCACACAGCTGACATGTGAGTTACATACAAAACTGAAGTAAGGTAGTGGCTGCCAAGATGGCCAAATAGGAACAGCTCCAGTCCCAGAGAGATCAATGCAGAAGGTAGGTGATTTCTGCATTTCCAACTGAGGTACCCAGCTCATCTTATTGGGACTGATTAGACAGTGCGTGCAGCCCACAGTGGTGAGCCAAAGCCGGATGGTGTGGTCACCTCACCCGGAAGTGCAAGGGGTTGGGGAACTCCCTCCCCTAGCCAAGGGAAGCCATGAGGGACTGTGCTGGGAGGAACAGTGCATTCAGCCCAGATACTATGCTTTTCCCACTGTCTTCACAACCCGCAGACCAGGAAATTCCCTTGGGTGCCTATACCACCACGGCCCTGGGTTTCAAGCACAAAACTGGGTGGCCATTTGCACAGATACCAAGCTAGCTGCAGGAGTTTTTTGTTTTTTATTTTTTGTTTTCATACCCCAGTGGCCAGCAAGACAGAACCATTTACTCCCCTGGAAAGGAGGCTGAAGCCAGGGAGCCAAGTGGTCTAGCTCAGCAAATCCCACCCCTATGGAGCCCAGCAAGCTAAGACCCACTGGTTTGAAATTCTTGCTGCCAGCACAGCAGCCTGAAGTCAACCTGGGGCACTTGAGCTTGGTGCAGAGAGGGGCATCCACCATTACTGAGGCCTGAGTAGGTGGTTTCTCCCTCACAGTGTAAACAAAGCCGCCCGGAAGTTACAACTGGGCAGAGCCCACCACAGCTCAGTAAAGCCTCTGTAGCCAGATTGTCTCTATAAATTTCTCCTCTATGGACAGGGCATCTCTGAAACAAAAGCAGCAGCCCCAGTCAGGGGCTTACAGATAAAACTCTCCTTTCCCTGGGACAGAGCACCTGGGGGAAGGGGCAGCTGTAGTGCAGTTTCAGCAGACTTAAACGTTCCTGCCTGCCAACTCTGAAGAGAGCAACCAATCTCCCAGCACAGCACTCAAGCTCTGCTAAGGGACGAATGCCTCCTCAAGTGGGTGTCTGACCCCCATGTCTCCTGACTGGGAGACACCTCCCAGCAGGAATTGACAAACACCTCATACAGGAGAGCTCTGGCTGGCATCTTGCGGGTACCCCTCTGGGACAAATCTTCCAGAGGAAGGAACAGGCAGCAATCTTTGCTGTTCTGCAGCCTCCGTTGGTGATACCCAGGCAAACAGTCTGGAGTGGACCTCCAGCAAGCTCCAGCAGACCTGCAGCAGAGGAACCTGACTGTTAGAAGGAAAACCAACAAACAGAAAGGAATAGCGCCAACATCAACAAAAAGGACGTCCAGACACAGAAACTCCATGCGAAGGTCACCAACGTCAAAGACCAAAAGAAGATAAATCCACAAAGATGAGGAAAAACCAGCACGAAAAGGCTGAAAATTCCAAAAACCAGAATGCTTCTTCTCCCATAAAGGATCACAACTCCTTGCCAGCAAGGGAACAAAACTGGACGGAGAATGAGTCTAATGAAGTGACAGAAGTAGGCTTCAGAAGGTGGGTAATAACAAACTGCTGTAAGCTAAAGAAGCATGTTCTAACCCAATGCAAGGAAGCTAAGAACCTTGAAAAAAGGTTAGAGGAATTGCTAACTAGAATAACCAGTGTAGAGAAGAACATAAATGACCTGATGGAGCTGAAAAACACAGCATGAGAACTTTGTGAGGCATACACAAGTATCAACAGCTGAATCAATCAAGCAGAAGAAAGGATATCAGAGATTGAAGATCAACTTCATGAGATAAAGCATGAAGACAAGGTTAGAGAAAAAACAATGAAAAGGAAAAACAAAGGCTCCGAGAAATATGGGACTATGTGAAAAGACCAAACCTACATTTGATTGGTGTACCTGAAAGTGACGGGGAGAATGGAACCAAGCTGGAAAACACTTTTCAGGATATTATCCAGGAGAACTTCCCCAACCTAGCAAGACAAGCCAACATTAAATTCAGGAAATACAGAGAATACCGCAAAGATACTCCTCGAGAAGAGTAATCCCAAGACACATAATTGTCAGATTCACCAACGTTGAAATGTAGGAAAAAATGTTAAGGGCAGTCAGAGAGAAAGGTCGGGTTACCCACAAAGGGAAACCCATCAGACTAACAGTGGATCTCTCTGCAGAAACCCTACAAGCCAGAAGAGAGTGGGGGCCAATATTCAACATTCTTAAAGAAAAGAATTTTCAACCCAGAATTTCATATCCAGCCAAACTAAACTTCATACGCAAAGGAGAAATGAAATCCTTTACAGACGAGCAAATGCTGACAGATTTTATTACCATCAGGCCCGCCTTACAAGAGCTCCTGAAGGAAGCACTAAATATGGAAAGGAAAAACTGGTACCAGCCACTGCAAAACACACCATATTGTAAAGAACATCGACACTATGAAGAAACTGCATTTGCTAACGGGCAAAATAACCAGCTAGCATCATACTGACAGGATCAAATTCATACATAACAATATTTACCTTAAATGTAAACAGGCTAAATGCCCCAATTAAAAGACACAGACTGGCAAAATGGATAAAGAGACAAGACCCATCTCACGTGCAAAGACACACATAGGCTCAAAATAAAGGGATGGAGGAATATTTACCAAGCAAACACCAAACACCAAAAGCAATGGCAACAAAAGCTGAAATTGACAAATGGGATATAATTAAACTAAAGAGCTTCTGCACAGCAAAAGAAACTATCATCAGAGTGAACAGGCAATCTACAGAATGGGAAAATATTTTTGCAATCTATCCATCTGACAAAGGGCTAATATCCAGAATCTACAAGGAACTTAAACAAATGTACAAGAAAAACACAAACAACCCCATCAAAAAGTGGGCAAAGGATATGAACAGACACTTCTCAAAAGAAGACATTTATGCAGCCAACAAACATGAAAAAAAGCTCATCATCACTGGTCATTAGAGAAATGCAAATCAAAACCACAATGAGATACCACCTCATGCCAGGTAGGATGTCGATCATTAAAAAGTCAGGAAACAACAGATGCTGGACAGGATGTAGAGAAATAGGAACACTTTTACACTCCCACTTTTGTTGGGAGTGTAAGTTATTTCAACCATTGTAGAAGATAGTGTGGCGATTCCTCAAGGATCTAGAAGTAGAAATACCATTTGACCCAGTGATCCCATTGCTGGGTATATACCCAAAGGATTATAAATCATTCTACTATAAAGACACATGCACACGTATGTTTATTGTGGCACTATTCACAATAGCAAAGACTTGGAACCAACCCAAATGCCCATTAATGATAGACTGCATAAAGAAAAAGTGGCACATATACACCATGGAGTACTATGCAGCCATAAAAATGGATGAGTTCATGTCCTTTGCAGGGACATGGATGAAGCTGGAAACCATCATTCTCAGCAAACTAACACAGGAATAGAAAACTAAATATTGCATGTTCTTACTCAAAACTGGGAGTTGAACAATGATAACATATGGACACAGGGAGGGAAATATCACACACGGGGGCCTGTCAGGGGTGGGGTGCTAGGTAAGAGATAGCATTAGGAGAAATACCTAATGTAGATGACAGGTTGATAGGTGCAGCAAACCACCATGGCACGTGTATACCTATGTAACAGATCTGCACGTTCTATACATGTATCCCAGAACTTAAAGTATAATAATGAAAAAAAAAACTGAATTAAATGTATTTATTGTAATTCTCTTTATTTTTTATTTTTTTTAGAGACAGGTTCTCACTATGTTGCCCAGGCTAGAGTGTAGTTGTGTGATCACAGTTCATTGTAATCTCAACCTCCTAGGCTGCAGCAATCTTCCCACCTCAGTCTCCCAAGTAGCTGGAACTACAGGCACATGCCACAATGCCCAGCTAATTTTTAAGTTTTTTTGTGGAGATGGAGACTCACTATGTTGCTTAGGCTAGTCTCAAACTCATGGCCTCAAGCAATCCCTCTGCCTCAGCCTCCTAAAGTATTGGGATTATGACTGTGAGCCACAGCACCAGGCCTGTAATTCTGTTTAAAAAGAAGTAGATTGACTTTTGCAAAAGTTTTATAAATCATAACTGTTCGCATTTGTGTAGTTAGTCAAATGCTTTATATATACTACTTGTTTAATGCTTAAAATAGTCTCATAAAATACAGAGGCCAGGCAATATTACCCCCATTTAATATATGAGGAACTAAGGGTCAGGGAAGCCCATCTTGGGTCACACAAATAATAAATGGTAAAGCAGAAGCAAGAAATCATTCCTTACAAATTACAATTAATTGCCTCTTCCACTATACCACATGACAAAGAATGTGCAAATGGCCTTAGAGAACTCAATTGGCAAGAGATTTGCATATGAAGGATTCATGAAACCATTTTCTTCACTTTCAATGAGTAATGATTCTTCAAGATTTCAAAAGAAAGTTCACTTCTTTCCTAAAGAATAGGGCTGACTTTCAAACCAGTTTGAGATTAAAAGGCACTGGAGAAATACAAAACCAGACATTCCGTCTTACTCCTCAAAACCTCTGTCCTCTGGTACGTGGAAGGGAAGGAAGAACAAAAGTTCACATTTCAACAGTGTTCTCTGCATCCAAGGCTTCAAAATAAAAGCAATGATTCATTTCATTCATTCACAGTATTTTTGAGTACCTTCTGTGTTCAAGACACTATGCTACGTTCTGGCTAAAAAGTAGTTAATAAAACAAACACATTCTCAGTTCTTGTAAAAAGCTCATCTGGAAAAAATAGCCATTAAGCAACTATGCACATAAATTAACATTGTTACAATGATGATAACTCTCTAGAGGAAAGAACAGTGTACTATTAACATAAAAACTGACAGGAAAGACTCAGTCTAGACCACAGGTGAGTCAATGAAAAAAGTCCTGAGGAAGTGACATTCAAACTGAGGCACATGGGTGAGCAGGAGTCAGTAAGAAGGCAAAAGTGGACAGTGTGTGCAAAGGCTTTAAGGCAAGAAGAAGGTTTTGCATCTGAGTAACAAAAAACAAGCTGGTTTGACTAGAACATGTTGAGCAGAGGTTAGTTACATTGGATATCGGGGAAGAAAATGGGGACAAGGCCTTGTGGCTACTGAACCAGACAGCCCTTCAAGAGTACCATGGCTGCTAGATGGAGGATGGATAGGAGGAGGAGCATGAGAGGATGTGGGGAAACTGGTCCAAAGGAGAGATCTTGGTGATTTGGATGGAGTCGTAGCAATGGAGATAGAGAAAAGAGCATGAATTTGAGATATTCTTAGAATTCAGAATCAATATAAGTTTGGTGAGTGACTAAAAGTTCCAGGTGTTAGGAACTGAGGTATCAAGGATGACTTCTCTGGCCAGGTGCAGTGGCTCACACCTGTAATCCCAGCACTTTGGGAGGCCGAGGCAGGTGGATCACCTGAGGTCAGGATTTCAAGACCAACCTAGCCAACATGGAGAAACCCCGTCTCTACTAAAAATACAAAAAATGAGCCAGGTGTGGTGGCAGGCGCCTGTAATCCAAGCTACTTGGGAGGCTGAGGTAGGAGAATTGCTTGAGCCCAGGAGGCAGAGGTTGCAATGAGCCGAGGTCACGCCATTGCACTCCAGCCTGGGCAACAAGAGTGAAACGCCACCTCAAAAAAAGGAAAGAAAAGAAAGGAAATTTTTTCAGGTTTCCAGCTTAAGTAGCTGAGTAGATAAAGCTTACATTTATGGAGAGAGATAGAGAAGCTGAGAGAAAGAGTAGATATAGCTGGAGAGTGGTGAGATATGGAAAAGAAGAGCTCACCCACAGCTATCTTAAATTTGATATACACGGAATACATCCAAGTGGAGACTGTCAAGTAAGTAGATATTGATTCTGGAGGTTATGAGAGAGGTTTGATCTGCGTAAAAAAATGTGGAGAGTTATTGACATTTATATAAGGCTTAAGACAATGGAAATGGATACAAAAGCTTAAAGGGAAGAAGGCCCAAACCTTGCAGGTGACAACACAAAGGCATAGCAAGAACAGATCCAGTAGGTAAATAAAAACAAAAGCCAGATGCAGTGGGTAGAAAAGGGAATGGAGGTGGAATAGTAAAGTAAAATGTTTGGAGGATGTTTTGAAAAGGGAGTGATGTTGATGTTCTTGGGAGAAATATTTTACTAGTTATCAAGATGTGGAAGATTTGTCTGACATAGTACTCTTTTTTCCTACGAGTATTGGATTCACCTTAATGCAATGAGGAAGAAAACACATAAGAATAATCACAGGATTCTACTAAGAAACCACCATGCTAGGCAATATCATACCTGATTCCACATCAAGAGAGTATTTATCAATAGCCAAGTTCATGGTATTGTAGGCAGCGGTACAAAAGTCTTCCAGAATCATGTACACCGCATTGTTGACATTAGGAGGGACAGAATTGGCAAACTTCATTCGACTGTTCACCACAATGCTGCCATTTCTGAAGTTGAGGATTTCTAAGTTCTGGAATCCCGTGAGATTTGACTGGAGATAGGGAACCAGCTACAATACACAAAAAGTGGTAAGTTTATTGACAGCGTTTCACACTTTGTTCAATACATACCCAAAGAAAACAAAACAAAAACACAGGTAAGACCCTGCCTCACTTTTCCTAATTGTATTTTATCTACATTTAAACTGTTAATTAACAAAAGTACAAGTTAGGAATGATTTGACAGTATAAACTAGAAATGCTATGCGATGTTCATAGTGATATTTAGGAATCCCATGGAATTCATACATAGTTTTAGACACGCAGAGAGTTTATTCTCTGTTTCACTGAAGGATCCCAACAGTGAAGGCGACATAGGTACCCACAAAACATTAGCTTCACAATAAACTGTGAAAAGAAATGTCAAACTTATTGTAGTCCCCTAATTCATGAAAACAATCTTCCCTGTAAATTATCACATCACTCTCATGCCACTTTTGTGTTTTCCATTTCTTATATGTCTTACTGTTTTCTTTCCAACCCTAGGCCATGATACTATTTGTGAATGATAGGAAATGAATGTTCACAGCAGATCACACTTTCCCTGGCTCAGACCTTGTGTGCTAGAGGGGAGGAGGAGTGGGTCATACACGATTATTCACTAGCGCCCATGTTTCACTTTTTGTGCTTACCAATTCTAAAAATCTTTGCTCCAGGGCTTTATACTCCAAAGAGTTCTTATTAAACAGATCTTCTGAAAACATCATGTTAGTCACTCGGAGGCTGAAGAAAACCACCAAAGCTCCTGAAGTCTGGGTATAACTCAAGTCATCTCCTCCTTCTGTGGGCCACGCCACACTAACCATCTCTGTGGAGTGAACACTTGTAGACATTTCCACATAACTACCAACCTTGCCATTTTGCTCTTGGACTAGCTCAGGCTGATAGTAATCTGTGCCTATCCGGTCCAGTTCTAATGAAATATCCTGTACACCCATAATTACTTCATCCTCTAGCAGGGTGGAGATTGTGGTTGGAGGCAATTTGGTAGACTGTGTCATAGAAGCTTTCAACCAGAGTCTGTCAGTACTCTGTGGTGTACTTGCCAATGTGTCTCTGGACAATTTCTCTAGGGAAGAAGTTCTTGTCGAAACTCTCTCTGATTCTGGCAATATAGTCCACAAAGGTTGCATATCTGGCTTTACCATTGAAACCTCGCTGTCAAACCATTCATAGTTGGATGACTCGGTAGTTTGTTCCATATCCTCCCTTAGGATGGCATCTGCCTGATCTGATATTTCAGTAGAGGCAGAGATTGCTACAGATGTCAGTATAAGAGGTGCTTTGGTAACTGAGTAATCATCAACACCAGGTACTTCTGACATGTGCTTGAGGAGGGTTAGAGATGCAGATTCAGTTGCAGTATCTGCGAAGATGGGCACAGCAGGCCCACTAAGAGGCTCTTCCTCTGGGAAGTGTGTGGATCTATCATCATGTTCATATTTTGAGTGCTTACTAATTTGGTCTGTGGAATCCATTTTGTCAACTAAAACTAGCTTCTCGTCTTCAATCTCAGCTGGCAAAAGTGAATCGTCATCTTCAAGCCATGGCTTGGACAGCGGTTCAGTGCTCTTTTCTGATGAAGTCTCACTCCATGGCCAAGTAATCAGATCTACTTTTTGCCCTGATCCTGAACCTAAACCACTGTCAAGTATTAACTCTTTTTCCATGGATGCATCTGGCAGGAAAGGGCTCACTTTTAATTGATCTTTGACTTTGGAGGTCAAGGAGTCCAAGCCAAAAGGTGTAGATGAGGTCAGATATGGTGAAGATGTTAAGGACACATCAGAGTCTTCCATGGATGGTATTGTTTCTTTTGGCACAGGTTGAGTGAATAAACTTGAAGGCAATGAATCAATAGAAAGAAAATCTTCTGACTCTTCAACATTGGCTAATCCTAAAAATAAAGTTTTCCATTAATTAATCTACAGAGTTGCCAAAATATATTCCTAGTTCTTCTAGTTCTTCTAATAAAATTAGTTTCCTATTTTTTCCCTGTGAAGTTAACAGGGGCAATTGTTGACTTTTGTTTTTCTATATCTAGCAAACAAAAGGAAGGTCTGATAACATGTTTGTAATATGGGACAGTCACTCACGAATATTATCTCCTTCTCGAGGATGACAAGACCTTGACTATTGAAATAATCTTCAAACGCTTGTTTTTTTTTTTTTTTAATTCCATGAAAATAAAGAACTGCTAGTAGTAATTTTGACAACAAATACTAATCCAGCAGTCATTTAGGAGGAAAATTCTCTGAACATTGTGTTTCTCTTTGAATCCTCATTTTCCCTGTTATGTTTATTGTCTATCATCCTTCAGATTCACCCAATATTCACAATCCTGAACTCATTATTTATATATTTGCTCATCTTCCTCTTTTCACATGTAAACTCCATTTCTAAGTCACATTTATTTTTCCTTTCCTCCACAACATCTAGATCATCTATTTCATTTTCACTTCTTTATCTCTGCTGTGGCTGCCATGATTTAGTTTCTTCCCTTCACAATACTACTACAAGCAAGAATCTTTAGACTTGGCCCCCACAACTAATTGTGTTATAACCTAGTTGAATAATCTTCTTTGACACTATTTATTACTCCAATATTTAAGTAAAGTGGTTATTTAATAGTAGTAGCAGTAATTTAACTAAATTATATACCCTTCGATATGACCTTCAAAATATCTGTTAATTGATCCCCACCCCAGCTCCCTAAGTTTATTTCTTATTATTTACCTATTTGGACTCTCCATTCCAACAAATTAAATTTGATTGTTTCCTCTCACAAACAATTTTACCAAGACATTTTACCCCTAATGAATACTACCATGTTTTTTTCATAACCATAGTCTCTTCCTCTCTAAAAACCCTGTCATCAGATACAACAAGAAGTATGAAAAGCAATTAAAGTTTCTCACCATCTTCTACCAAGTGAGATCCAGAAGTCCTTTCCTCAGAAGCCACAGGCAAGCCAGTCTGAAGCACTGCCGGGGTGACAGAATGAAGAGTCAAGCTGCTAACCTCTAAAACCTCTGGGGAAGAACTGAGGCCCATCTTCGAGGGAAAGGCTAATTTGTGTGTAGACACTAAATCACCCAAAGGACTTTCTGACCAGAGTTCCCTGCCAGTGGCTGAGGGAGGACCAGAGCTGAAATCAAGTGGTGGAATACTGCTGGTGGTGGATTCATCTGCTGAGGGCCATGCAGCTTGAAAGGTATTATCCTGGGGGGAAAAAAAGGCTAAATCATATCATAGATAAAAGAAACATATAAAAAGTGATTTTAAATACCACCTATCTGTCTATATTCCCAGATTTTCTAGGGACAAGGAGGCAGTGTATTAATAGTATTGGGAGTAGGGGGAGACATGGGCTCCAGAATCAAACAGATTTATAGTCAGATTCCAATATCTAGAGAAAAACTGTATCACCTCTCACCTGAAAAGCAAGGACAGATGAGGTAACATATTTTAAAGCCCTCAAACAAAGTGAATTTGTGAGAGAAAATGTTTTTTTTTTTCTTTAGATGGTTCATTTTCCTCTGTGTTTTTAGCTTAAATGACTTTAAATACATAGAAGTTACTGTTATCTGTAACTTGTTGGCAAAGATCTAAGTCCATTGCCCACAGCAGGAAAGAACAACTGACAATTTTATTCATCGTTCTGAAAAGATAATTAGTTAATGAAGGCCCTCTAGTTTGGTCAGAAATGTCACCACAACAAAATGTAGTCTGGTTACCTCAAACGAATAGCCACTCCTGTAAAATGGTATCACACTTATGAAACATAAACAATTTCCTCTTTCTAGTGATGTTTTACTAATGTACTACTAATCTTATCTTAAAACGTAGTTCAGAAATGGAGAAGTATACAGAAACACAAACCTTGAACATGTTAATCATTTAATTTTATGAAGAACTGTCTATGTAAATGTACAATAATCAGCCAGCCACAGTGGCTCACATCTATAATCCTAGCACTTTGGGAAGCTGAACCAGGAGGATCGCTTGAGGCTAGGAGTCCAGTCCGGGTAATATAACAAGACTCCATCTCAACAACAACAAAAAATTAGCTTAGCCAGGCATGGTGGCACACACCTGGAGTTCTAGCTACTTGGGAGGCTGAGGGAGGAGGATCACTTGATCCTGGGAATTCAAGACTACCGTGAGCTATGATAAACCCACTGCACTACATCCTGGGCTATACAGCAAGACGTTGTCTCAAAAAAAAAAAAAAAAAAAGAGTTTAACAATACTGCTAAGAGGTAAAATGGCCATGGTATTTGGCAGGAGTTTATATAATTTATTCTGGATTCTGAATAACAAAGATAGAGAAGTACAATCCACATGGAAAAAACTCATAAAATATTTCCTGGATGTATGAAAACTGAAAAAGGAAGAGAGAAAAGAACAATCCTTTTCAGTCCTAGAAGGTATTTGAGGTCGGGTGCTATGGCTCACACCTTTAATCCCAGCACTTTGGGAGGCCAAGGCAGGTGGATCACCTGAGGTTAGGAGTTCGAGGCCAGCCATGACCAACATGGAGAAACCCCATCTCTGCTAAAAATACAAAATTAGCTGGGTGTGGTGGCACATGCCTGTAATCCCAGCTACTCATGAGGCTGAGGCAGGAGAATCACTTGAACCTGGGAGGCAGAGGTTGCGGTGAGCCAAGATTACACCATTGCACTCCAGCCTGGGCAACGAGAGCGAAACTCCGTCTCAAAAAAAAAAAAAAAAAAAAAAAAAAGGTATTTGAATCACATGGAAGCTTTTGAAAAACACCAATTCCCAGGCCTGACACTCAGAAATGTTAACTTAATTGGTCTGGGAGGAGAACCTAGACATGTGTACTTGTAAAAGTTCTCTAGAAGAGGAAATGGCTGGATCATGTTCTGGGCATAATATTCCAGCCTGTGTTTCTAATATACTTCTTCAGTTGCTGAATGATTTTATTTCTTATCAACTGGAACCTTTAAGAAATTTCCCATATTTATAAGTCTATCAAGACTAGAATTCATGTTATACCTATGAAGAAAATGAAAACTACAAATAAGAAATGCTGAATCTAACCTCCTCCCCCCACTCCAGGAGACTCCTATCAGCAATAGTAAATTTTCACTGACAGTCTCAACCCTAATATGCTTTTTGAACAAAGCACACAATTTTAGGGTGGCTAACTAGAGTTCAGTCTATGGCCATGAAATAAAACAGAACATACTGGCCTATGAAGACAGCTAACCCAAAACAAGGTGATATGGTTTGACTGTGTCCCCACCCAAATCTCATCTTGAATTTCCACATGTTGTGGGAGGGACCTGGTGGGAGGTGATTGAATCATGGGGGCAGGTCTTTCCCATGCTGTTCTCGTGATAGTGAATAAGTCTCATGAGATATGATGGTTTTATAAAGGGGATTTTCCCTACACAAGCTCTCGGCTCTTGTCTACTACCATGTGACATGTGCCTTTCACCTTCTGCCATAATTGTGAGGCCTCCCGAGCCACGTGGAGCTGTAAGTCCATTAAACTTCTTTCTTTTGTAAATTGCCCAGTCTAAGGTATGTCTTCATCAGCAGCGTGAAAACAGACTATTACACAAGGCCTAATTAGTCTTTTATGCTTTGTCTTCACAGTGCCCCTTGCCTCTCTGTCAAAGAGCTGTGTGAGAAAGCTTTGAACTATACACTCTCCCAGTCACAGATGGGGGACCATGAGGCAAGAAACCACCAGGCATGTCCTACTTTGTCCCTTCCCCTAGTGAGAAATGCACAGGAAAGATAGTAATAACAGAAGGTCATTGGGTCTATAGAGAGTTACCCACAGTTTCATCTACCATCTTTAAACTAAAAGCACTCTGTCAAACAATCTTATTTTCTTTTGTGGAACTCAGTTACAACATCTCTTCCTGCCTTGTCCATGTTGTTTTCATTGGTTCCTATTTTAAGTGGGTCACCATGCTGATTCTTCTGTGTTTGTCACCACCACTTCAGATCCTTCTCTTCCTGCCCTCTGCCCTAGGAGGCTGACCCTGTGATCTGTACCAGTCTTGCAAATGCTGCCTTGCATTTGTTTTCTGTTTGAGTTTGGCCAATGGGAAGCATAAGCAGATCAAAGGACAGGGGGAAGGAGAGGTCCCTGCTTCCTCCAAGCCTCAATACTATGAGTCTAGCATAGCTATGCTTCTCCCTCCACAGTTACAGCTCCAGCTGTCCATGGGCTCTGGTAACAGCACTTCCTCCCCTTCCTCTGTAATCCAATGGATGGTAGTGGTAATTGCTTCCCACTGTTGTTAGTCTCTGCATACCTCAACATTCTTTTTATGCTTCCTTAACCCTATCCACATCTCCATTAGTAGATTCTTCTAGATGATTCTGTTACTGCTGAGACCCTGGATGAGTGATATTATGCAAAGGTGCCATCATTTTATAATAGACTTCATTTAAAAATCCATTAAAGTTTAAGTCATTTCTATCAAAAAGTGATTAGACAATCCAAAATGAAATATAAATGCCCAGCAAATAAGGAATGAGAATCACTTAAAACAACAACATGAACCAAAAATGATATCATTCTGGCTAAATGTAAATTTAGCCAGAAAATAAAAATCTGGAAAGGAAAAAGGAGAGTGATAAAAAGTATATGATGCAATGTTAGCCAACATTTTTGGCAATGTAGCTTTGGCTAAAAAAAAAAAAGAAAGAAATAGAAGCAAGATATATCTAGGAATTAGACTGGAGTCTAATAACCAAATCTCCTGAATCTGTTGAAGTGAAATGTATGAGAGAAAACGCAAAACATCTGTAAAGAAAGAGGAAGCCAGAGGCCATCATCAAATGACTAGATACAATTGCAAAACAACCTATAGAGAAAGAGAAAGATCTCAGGACACAAAATTCCCTCTTGGGGAATCTCCTAACAGAAGTGCACCTGAAGATAAGAAGACATGTTTCATGATTCAGGACAGAAAAAGAAAAAGAAGATCTAATTGGAGAGATGACTTCTGGCATTTTTCTAGTAAACTTTAAGAGCATGCAAGTCTGGGCAACAGAGTAAGACTCTGTCTCTACAAAAAACATAAAATAAAAAAATAACTGGGTGCCTTGGTGCACTCCTATATTACATTCCTATAGTACTCTGGAGGCTGAAGCAGGAGGATCACTTGAACCCAAGGAGTTTGAGGCTTCAGTGAGCTATGATCACACCACTGCACTCCAGCCCGGGTGACAGAGCAATACACTGTCTCAGAAAACACCATGCAATTACCAGGAGTAGAGTTAACCTTACATAACTCTATTCAGTAGAGGTGGCTCACAATTGCTGACCTGTGTGCAGAGTGCTCCTACATAACTTAGCACCAAATAGAATAAAGTTGGTTCATATTTCTGCCTAGAGGGTCTAAGTTATTCTGAGTCCTCACAAACAGAGATAGAGCAAGAGTTTATTTCCAGAGAAATGGAAGACAACAAATTAAAGTCCAGAAAGTGAAAGGCAAAAGAGTTAAGTAAAAACACCAGCTCTTGTCTTGCCAAAGGCTCATGTGCTTTTTGAGGCCTTTGGCTTGTAAAAATCTTACGTTAGGAAGAGGGGCTGAGCATGCACGCGTATGTGAACATAACAAAATTATCACGTTTTACACTTAGAAGGACTCAAGAACACATGTAGTATAACCATGCCTGTTAAAGAGAGGGAACTGAGGATCATAGAAGTGAAACGCTCAAGGACACACAAAAAAAGAGAAAAAAATACAGACTGGAAGCAGCCAAGTCTCTAGATTTCTCAGTGCCAGTGCTTTTCCCACTAACAGCTATTCATCCAGAGGTCTCTACAAGTGTATATTCCCAAGTGGTAAAAGGATTCTCAGAGGAGAAACTAGAGCAAACAGACTTGGCAATCCATGTGCTCGTTTGGGTTAACATATTCTACAGGTTTATACAACCCAGGCCAACACAGATGGAGGGAGTGTGGGAGGCCATGTCCTAATATTCAGATATCTGCTCTATGGGATATGGAGGCTGTTTACATAGAAAAAAAGTTTCTAGCCTTCCCCTTTATTTTTCTAGGACCAAAAATTACATTTGTAGTCAGGGAAAAGAAGGCCATTTGCTCAATACCAAGTTCTGTTCTTCAATAAAGTAGTTACAATGATGATGATCATTCCATAAGAGGGAATTAACTTTATTCCTTTTAATTATATAAAACTACTTCCAGAGATGTGTTAAAGTGACTCATATATTCTTGCAAATTCCAAATGTACTTTACAAAAAAACTCAAGTGAGATAGCTTAAGCCCTTCAAGCCATGCTTAAGAAATTGAGTTTTATCAGATGGAGCGCATAACCTGACACACATTAGGAAAGCAGCTGAATCCTCAACGAAAAAGAAATCCTCAAGCAGTAATATACTGTTTCAGTGTATCTGTAAACAAAATGCCTTTTCACTTCATAAAAAATTAAAAGTGAAACAATATATAAAATCTTTTCAAAAGTCAAGTCACAGACAATATAAAATGTGAAAGTAAACAACTTGACTTTTCAAATAAAGAAGAAAGGCCATCCCTTCCAAATAAGTATTCCCTAAAAACTGGCATGGCAATGATGCTTTCTTATACATTTTGAAAAGTTAACACATACATGCCAGGAATAGCCCTTCATTAATTTTTCTATCCATAGATGTTCCCATAGTAACAAATTTAACTTATGCTTTCTTTCAGTTCAGTGTAATATATTGACAACTTTATTATATTGGCCAGTTTCATTTCTGCTACTGCCAATTGAAAAGCTTGTTAGTCCTAAAGAAAGCACACTGTACAAGTGATTTTCCAAGTCAGGGTGCCAGAAAGGTGTCAAATTCCATTTCCCAACATTCCTAGCTCTAAAATAACATTTTTTTTTAACTCTTGGAATAAAGCCTTTATTACTAATAATAAAAACAATAAAATGATTAGTAATATGATTATTGCAGCTCTGCATATAAAATAATTTTTAAAAATAAAATCTGGGGAAGAAAACCCACCTCACTTCTATGGTAGAGTAAAATCTTGCTAACAGTTGACAAGGGCATGAAGAAAGGGAGGGAAGGAATAAATTAAAAAGAAAGTAATAACTAGACATTTCTAATTAATCATTCCTTGTTTTCATGTCTTATCATCTCCCATTAACATTCTAATGTTTCCTTAAATTGTTAATGAATGCCCTACAGTAATCACTATTCAAAAAAGTAATGAGTTGGCATAAATGCAAATGAAAGTACTGCAACATAAATGAACAAGTGAGCCTACTGGTGCTTGCTGTCATTAAGGGGCAGCCACAGCCAAGCTCCAGCCACTTTCTGCCACAAGGGAATATGAACTTAACAGTAGCAGATCTTCCTGGTGTTCAAAAGAAGCCAGAAATCTGCATTTTTATGTAAAAATCTCCTAGTTTTAAAATATTGACTTTTTAAAAAAAATTTGGTCCCAAGCTGCATGTCTATAGTTGGATCCAGCTAGTCTCCAGTTTACATGCTCTGGCTTATATAGAAATTCTCATCCTCACAATATGATTCTAAAATATCATCGCGAAGCTCCTCCTGTGGTTAGAGAATGTGATTAAAAGCAGAGAGTCATGGTGCTGTCATTGCTCCCTGTACCCTGGATGGACCTCTAGGACAATGTCTGCATCACCTTGTTTAGAAATCTGTCTACTACCACCAGACTGGAAATTTTTGTAGGCAGAGCCACACCTTATTTGTCTTAGTTTCACAAGCGCTTGGCACATAGAAAGCACAAAACAAACATATTTGAATGAATGAATAAGTGAAGGAATAAATACACACCAAATGAATGTACTCTCTGTAAATCTCTTCTAATCTATTTTGTCCAATATGTAACTCAGTGAAAAGATTGTTTTTAGTAATTCTACATTGTAATAATGAGTTACTCTATAACCTAGTAGAAGAAATGGCTGCAGAGATTAATGGTTACATGAATTAAGGGCAGGCTTTCTGAATTTCCATCGCTCCATTAAAGTCGAGAAACAAGTAATTCAAATAGCTGATAGGAGACGGAAAATAAATTTTAAGAGGGAAGAAAAGCAAGGAATGTCGATGAGAAGGGAGTCCCCTTACTGTTTCTATGTGATAACAAAAGATTCCTGTATTCATTGCAGACAGGTAATTCTGTAGTGGTTTGTGGTTGTAGATGTTATCATTGTTGTTTAAACTATGCTGTTTCTTTCCTACTGTATAACTCCCTACAAGTGAAGTGGCAAGTGGAGGTTTACAGGGGGACGAGGAATTCCTGATGCAGCTGGGTGGTAAGAACAAAAAGGAAAGTTCGTCCCATGCTGTTTCTATGCAAGCGGGAGTTTTCAGTCCAGGTTACAAGGAGGCCTGATTTAGAGTCCCTGTCATCCGTCAGCTGGCAGATATGCTTCTTTCTCTCCATTCCGTACACACACTGCTTCGCAGTGTAACCTTTTTTTCACTATAATCATTGAAACAAAAAATCTACGCTCTATACCTAGTACATCAATGTATCATCTTGGCTATAAAATCTATTTCTGGGTAACTCTCAGAGAACAACTCAGCAGGCACTCAATAGCTTAATTACCACCGAACAAGTAGGAACCATGAATAAGTTTTCTTCCCTGTGTGGAGTTTGGCAATGCAGACTTTATTTCACCACTGCAGAAGGCTGAAATTTTCTGAACCAACACTTGGTACCTATGAGCTGACACCTATGAGTAATGGCCTAGGGATGATGCAAGAGAATAACTGAAATGAGAACAGCTTGGGAAATGTATAATGCCAAAGTAAGCAGGTGAGGGAAGAAAGAAGAGAAGCTTGAGGGCCTAGTTCTAGCATAAAATATAAAAACATACCAGAATAGATGATGGCGTTGCCTGAAGACTTGAACTTTGGGTGTTCCAAACTAGATCTTCAGTTTGGTGACGCAAAACTCCTCTCACTGAGGAAAGAACAACATTAAAGAACATTTTTAGTTGAGGCCGTACTGTATTTGAGGTGCAGGGACAACTGAAAGCCAAGTTCTTCCTCTTCATAGTTTAGATTTTAGCAGAACATATGGGACACACTTACTTAGAAAATATTTATTACTTTATTCACATATTTTATTTATATTAGCACAATCTGCCTGAATTATAAGAATCTAACATAAAATAAAGATTATTCCCATTATTACATTTAGGACATCCTCTATTACTTCCTTTCCTTTCTCAAGTCAGTTTTTATTCTGTTCAAGATTCCTATGAAGCGCTTATTTTTAAATTAATTTTTAAGTAAAAAAGTTGTACTAAAATTTCAATTCATTTGGTTTATGCTAAGAATGGTAGAAAAGTATGCAAACATAATTGCCTTTTGGGAAGAAAGTACCTTTGAAAACTGAGCTAGGACACCAAAAATCTTTATCACTGTAATGATATTAAAGAGCAACATAGAGAGTAGATTACATAATTTAATTCAACAAAAATTTAATGAATCCTTGCTAGTTATCACAGACTTTACCAAAGTTGAGGCTATAAACATTAATAAAGCCAAGTTTCTCTTCTGGAAGCATTGCATATATCAGGGAAATAAACACAAATTCTAAAACAATGTAAGGGGCATATATAAAATGTATGGTGACACAGACAAAGAAGCAGCTGATTTTGCCCACAGGGGAGAGAAAATCAATAAAAGCTAAAAAGAAGGGATTGCCAGAAGAGTGATCTGGTGTATGCAACCAAAAATAGAAGTAGAGTCTCTTTATCCACCTGTTCCCACTGGCCTGACATAACAGGAATCAAGCAAAGGTCAAAAACCCTATTTGGCTTACGTATTTTCCAAAACTTTTAAAAACTGAGTATACAATTATCTTGTCTTCTATGAAAAATAAGCTCCACAAGATCAAGAAGTGATATGGTTTGTCTCTATGATGTCCCCACCCACATCTCATGTTGAGTTGCGATCCCAAGTGCTGGAAGTGGGGCCTGGTGGAAGGTGATTGGATCATGGGGGCAGATTTCCTCTTTGCTGTTCTCGTGACAGTAAGTGAGTCCTGATGAGATCTAGTTGTTTAAAAGTGTGTGGCACTTCTCTCTCTCCCTCTCTCTGTCTCTGTCTCTTCCCCTGCCTCCCTTCTGCTCCACCATGGCAAGACGTGCTTGCTTGCCCTTCACCTCTTCACCTTCTGCCATGATTTTAAGTTTCCTGAGGCCTTCCGGCCATGCTTCCTGTACAGCCTGTGGAACTGTAAGTCAATTAAACCTCCTTTCTTCATAAATTACCCAGCCTCAGGTTCTGTATAGCAGTGTGAGAATGCACTAATACAAGGAGGATCATATCTTCTGAGATAATGATCAAGTTACATAGAAAGCTGCCACAATTCAGAACTCTGAAGTTGGCCTGACAATAGAAATTTTAGAGACAACATTCTGAGTAATTGAAATATACATCTAATGAAAGCCTAAGGCACTTGAATTAGTTGGTATTAGATATTGTAAAGCTTTTGTTGAACTTGCTTACAAATTCTAAGAAAGTCGTTTACCTCTTTTCAGGACACCTTTATGAAAGTAGCTCCACCCACAGGCTCCACACAATAGGAAGATCTTGCAATACTGTTTGTGGATGTAGTTTACTAAGCAACCTCTGTTTATTGTAGACCTTAATCTTCATGCCATTCTCCTACCACGCCAGTTACTGACCTTGGTGTTTGCACCTTCTGCTCAATGTCGGTTCTTAACCCACTTAGGTCATGATCTCCTAACTATATCTTTTCTCTGTCTGATCCCAATATCCTGATTCCTAGAATCTTCTGCCCATATGCCGTCCCTATGGTTAGCCCCGGCTAATCTCTATTAGCATTGCCAGAGGGACTTCAGCAGTTTCAGATTATAACAAGCTTCTTATCTGTTCACTGTTTTATCTAGCCCTAGTATTCCAGCAGAGATTCAACAACGACAAAGGAGTGAGCGCAGGATACCTACTCCAAAATATAAAGGCTCCCTAATGTTTAAGAATGAATGGTTCTATATCGCTCTCATCCACTGAAGAGAGTGTTTCTCCATCTTAAAGTCCTATGTAATTCATATAAAGCCCAGACCACTTTGTGACCCTGTCCCAGCAGAGTGTCACATTAAAAAAAACGGTTGGTCCAGCAGCCAAAATAAGTTGAAAGCAATGTAAAGTTTTGGTCTGGAAAAAAGAAAGAAAGAAAAGAGAAGAAAAGAAAAGGAAGAAAGAGAGAGAGAAAGAAAGAGAGAGAGAGAGAAAGACAGAGACAAAATCGTATTTGGGAAAAAGATATTAAATCACATGCAGTAAAATTTTATTAAAAATTTTTTCTCTCCCTTTCCCTTTCTCACTTTCTCTGTCTCTTTCACACACACACATATACACAAATACACACACACACACACACACACACACACACACAACTGCCTGGAAAGACAAGACTCTTCTTTGTCTCTCTAAAACTTCTCCTTCCCTACCTTGCCTTTTAAATCTACTATTCTCTTTGATTATTAATTTTCTGATCCTCTTCCTGTGTAAATCCAACAAGCGTCTCTGGCTTCTCTAGTGTCTATTTTTGTTTATTTGTTACACACACACACGCACGCACACACGCGCGCACACACGTGCGCACACACACACGCACGCACACACACGCGCACACGCACGCACACACACACGCACACACACGCGCACACGGCTAGGTAATAGCTGCCTGAAAGGACAGGACAGAGGCTCTTTTCTCTTTAAAATGTGTGGCAGCTACAGAGGCTGTAAAAATGCATCATTAGTATTGCCTCACTTGTAGATTTTCCTCCTCGGCAGCTGGTACTTCTTCCCTGCTGTCACTTCAGTAATGCATATTCCACTGAACATTTTAAAGGCTAAACTACCAATGAGTAAAGAAATCATGGAGAATAGAAGCAAATGCAAAGTAGCAAGTGAGTTAGCAGGATACCGTGGCCCTGATGAGTTAAGATGCTGCATACTAGTAGCCAGAATCTTAGCAAGTTTTAAGTCCAAGGTTCACTGGGCACCCTGTAGCCTCCAAATCCAGGTTAAACACCCTCTTCTTCACGATCTGTCATATCCCCCTGTTTATTATGGATCATAACAGGATCTCCACAGTGATCTGAATTTAAAGTCAGTATTGGATTATCCGGGATTCCGCACGGCACCCATTATCACTTCTTCTTTGACCTAGATCTCCCATTGCCTTTCTTGAGCTCTTCCTTTTTTCCTATACTTTGATGTTTAAGCCTTTACTAGCTGACTTACCTCAGAGAGTTCATGTCTCAGTTGTCAGGGAAGCATTATGGCCTGTTTCAGTACATACTTCCAAGTGCTACTTTCCTTTTTCTTATACTTTGCTCCTATTTCTCTAAACGATTTCTAACTGCCACTTTCCACACTCTGTGGCCTTTTGTCTAAAAATATTCCAGAAAGCCCCTGATTAATCTATCCAAAAGAGCTGCGCGGCTAAAGCTCCATTCATATCAGGTTGACTCCTACCGCATAAAGTCTACAGAATGGTCAGAACTTTATATATTTCGGGAAATTAGTTTACTCCAGGGCATACCGGAAAAGAAACTATACAAGGACTTCATGATGGATATGAAACTCACCATTGATAAGTTGCAGGGAATCAGGATCTGGATTCAAGGAAGAGTTCCCCAGCAAAAAATTCTGCTGCAATGTCTCAGCAATATAATCTCTGAAGTTACTGATTGTATAAACAACAGTGGGTTTATCGTCCAGTTCCACAAGGCCATGGTTTTCCACCTTGTTGGAGTGAAGGCTGATGAGGTCCCAGGTGGTATTGCTAATGGCCTCACCGTTGAAGGTAACTGCATAGTAAACATCTACGCCACTATGGATGGAAAGAGAGAACAGATTAGGTTCAGCTAAGGAAGCACAAAGAAAGGAGCATTGAACCCATGAAGAAACAAATATTGGACCCAGAGGGGGAGTCTCAAAGAGCATGGATTCCATCACTTTTCTCTGAAAACCCTGGACAACCTTTTGCCATCCTCTCCTCCTTCCCAGAGAATGAGGGGTCATAGCTCTAAGAATAGGGAAAAGAATTGTAAGGAGGCCACAGAGGCAACCCTGCAGAAAGATCTGAGCATCTTCTTCCCCTACGTTCTCACTTCTTTCCTCTTTCAAAGGCAAGTCCTCCGTCTTCACTGTCAGCCTACTTCTTCTTTTCCTATTAGCATGTCCCCCCCTGCCTTTTTAAAAACAGTCTTTCTAATTCCTCTTGACAGTGCAAAATCCTCTCACATCACTTCATTGTTGTTGTTAGATGAATTATGTACTGAAACATCGTTATCTATTGTGGTAGGAAAATTATGAAAAACTTGGTACTAAAGCAAATTGATGATTATTTTCCTTTCAAATGTTGTGCTGGAGTATTTTCTAATATGACAGTTCTTTCAGAAGACATACTTCGGTTTGATAACCCAGACAATTTACAGTTCTATAAAGTTTAAGACTAAATTGTAAAAAACTATTATGAAGTAATTTTTTTCTTGGCCTAGTAGGAAAAAAATCTCTAAAGTTATATTTTACTACCCTCCAGGGCATTAACCAATTTTGTATGCAACTTAGTAATCTGTTCCAAATTGACTATATGAATTTCTCTTTTTCAGATACTCTAGAAACAAGCTCTCTCTCTCTCTCTCTCTCTCTCTTTTTAAAGCTAACTCCCTTATTAGTGAATTATGTAAAACCTCAACAAGTACTAACAAACAGCACTTGTCTGGGAATTAGGCTTTTTCACCATCAACGTTTCCACAAGCAAACAAAGAGGAGACTTCTTGGAACACAGGACAGAAAGACAGAAAATAAATAAGTATGAGTTGATGTGTTGACACTTTCTTAACTAGCCTTTTGGAGAAATAACATCAGAATATAAAATTTTAAACCAAATAAGAATACTCCTCTAGACTCCAACTCAGATTTCTCTAACTAAAAGCTAACAGTTTGTAAGTGCTGATAATGTGACAGGTATTTTACATGCTTTATCTCATTTAATTTTCATAATAACCTGATGAAAGATATTTTAGCTTCAGAATATTGTTGAGGAAACAAGCCCTTAGAGCAGTTAAAAGACTTCCTTTAGATTTCATAACATGTAATATGTGGCAGAGTCATAATTTCAACACAGATCTGTCCAACTCCAGCCCCTACATTCTGAACTACTATGCTACCCTCTCAGTAGCTTTAATTAAACTATTACCCAAAAAAGTAATTACGAGGACAGCTCAATACCAGTCATCACTGTGGCTTCCAGGCAGTCTCTGCAGCACATCCATCATAGGCAGTAAGTACCCAGCAAGCCACACCGAGATCCCTCCAGAGGAAAGGACAACACTACCTTCCAAGAGACCAACCACTCAAGGCAGACATGCAGTAAAAGCAATTCGCCAACTTCAGACATTCCACAGCAGCAAACTAGTCTCAAAACAAAGCATAAAAATAAAAAATGAAAAATTGAATAAAATTTAAACTAACATGCTTCTTCCTCTGAACTTATATATCCTCATGTATTTCTTTATTTTAGCCTTCATTGCTTTGTGCAAAGATTTTGTTCACAGTGACGGTGTCTCAGTCTCTCCTTGAGTTTCTATCCCCAGTGCTCAGTTTGGTGCCTAGCACAGAGAGGTACCCAGTGCCTACTAGATGAACAGAAATATATACTTGCCTGAATGTAAAAAGAAACCTGCAGCATAATCAAGGTATTTACAGATCTAAAGGAAAGTACCAACATAATAAGGATGACATCATAGAGTATAGGAAAAAAGAAATTAGTCAGCTCATTGATGTTACTAGTTAGTGGAAAGCTTCTGACCAGTATGTTGGGAGTTCCTTGGGAAATAGATCCCTAGATTGGACATGGCTACAATAAGCTATCATGGCTAGATGATACTGGCTGCTGAGATCATCCAACTTTCTCTTTTTGATTTCAAGCTTGTAAAAGAAACTTTTGATTATAACTCCCTACAAATTTTCCTATGAGGAAAGAATGCATGAGCCAGTCAATGCTATAATAATTGATTGGTCTGTTGGCACATATATTTCTCATTTTTAAATAGATCAATAGGCATCCTAGTGATTGTCTTTTATAGTTTGGTAAGCATGACTGGCCTCAAGAGACTTCTTCCTGGGAGCACTGGTCTGGACCTGGCCTGGCCTACGCGGCACAGATCACACACCCTGGACTGCAGGGAAAGCCATAAAGGTGACACTCCCACCTGCCATACAAGCAAGCAGCCGGGCCTCTTTGATGTTCCTGTCTTACTCTGAGTGACGTCAATACTGTTTTCTTCCCAGATATGATAGGATACCTCTTCTAATGCAGTGGTTCAGGGCTCTTAAAAGTAATAACTGAGCACTTTGACACCCTGATGCTCTAAGTAGTAAAAACATCTGCTTGTCTCTAGAACTTCCCTCAATCCTCTAAGCAATGAAAGTATTTCAATTTTGCACATCTGAGAATGTAGATTCATAGGTAATTCCCAATATTATTTATAAAGAAATCAAATCAGTAAAATATGCTAAAATATCAAATGATGGTTACAAGATAGAATCAAACAATAAGAGGGTCACCTACTGATCAGAACTCATCACACCATATTCCCCCTTGCTCTTGATGAGCCTTCAGTCATTCTGATAGACTCGCAGACCATAGGCACCTGCTCTGTTTCTGGATCTTTGTACATACATTTCCTTCTCTCTGCAATGCCTGTTATTACCTCCCAGCCCTTATATCTTCCACATACACATGTACACACACATATAGATACCTTCTTCACCTGGCTATTTCTTTTTTACTTCAGCTTAGCTGTCATCTCCCAGGGAAACTTCTTTTTAACATGAAGACGTGATTGGTGCTCATGTTCTATCTCCCCACCAACTTTATAAGCACAATTATTTTTTGGCTCTATGTCTCCACCATCTAGCACAATGCCTGGCTCATAGTAGTTCAATATAGGCTTGTGAAAATAATGAAGAAACAAATGGTCAATTTTGTTCCCTAATGTAGGCAGATAAGACAATTGAATGTATGCCACTTAAACAACGGTACATGATATGCCTGACTTAATCTGAAGCATTTTCAGACTCTAAATATAACAGCAATTTTTAACCCTAAAGACATTCATATTAGCTTCATATATTTGTATCTTCTGGTTAATAATTTTAGAGACATTGTTTCCTGGCCACAGCCTAGCTCTGTGAGGATGTGCATGCTCTTCCAAGTCTTAGAGTGATGGACCATATCTACCTCTCCAGAAAGATGGGTTTCTTTTTGGGATTTTTGCACAACCTATTAAACTTACTTCTAGCGTAAATATGACTCTAAGATTAAAAAAAAAAAAACTATAAGAAAAAAAGAAAAACAGGGCGGAAGAAAGGTTATGTCAGTTAGCATTTCAGTTGGTTCTTAGGTTATGCAGAAAATCAGACAAGGAGAGTTAAGCATTTACTGGGAACCTACCATGTGCCTTGCATGACTTTTCAAATGATAGGGAAAAGATCAAGAGAAATGTTCCTGGATCAAGAAATCTATGCAAATCAGGCAGCCTGGAATAGATTACTGGTGTTACTCTTTATTGGCAAAATATTATTTGCCTCCCAATGTTTCCACTGGACATCTAAATATAATACTTCTATTATAATCTACCTTGTCTAGTACAGATAAGTTCATTAAAGAAGATAAAATGCCTCAGAGAGATGTTATAATTTGTTACCATGTTTTTGTCCTGGAAAGAGAACTCAAATAAGTGCTTGAGATACCAGAAAACCATCTATTTTGAGGGCCAAGAACATCACTGTGACCCAGAACAGACTGAGTTCTGGCATGGTAACGGAGTACAAAGATATCTCAGGATGAGGGACAGAATAAAAGAAAACTGAGAGGCCAAGGAAATTCATGAGAAGCAGAATACATACTGGCAGATAAAATAGTATCTGACTGAAGAAAGCTGTGCTGGCTCTCCACACTTAGCAACTCCAAGTTAACTAACCAGCAACTCCAAGTTAACTAACCACCACTGGATCATCATCTTTCATCTTTTGAACTGGACTCAGGCAGCTGCTATATTGAGGAGAGTTTCTGTGTCTGACAGCTATTTCCAAAGACATCAATCATGTGGAGGTGAAATTTACCTTTTCTTATTCTCTCCCCTCAGATGCCCTGATTGGCTGTTTGATGCATATATATTTTAAAACTTAAAAATAGTGCTATCACATTTCATCAAGATCAACCAAAATAAGGATATTTTGGAGAAACTCAGACATCTCTTCTTTAATAACTTCTTCTAGGAAGAAGATACATACTGAAAAGATCTGAAGCTAAATACATAAATTGGGTGTACCAGATAGATATATTGTTGATTCACTTCAAATACATACTACTAAATTAGCTAATGAGGACATATTTCCAAAGACATCAATCATGTGGAGGTGAAGTTTACCCTTTCTTATTCTCTCCCCTCAGATGCCCTGATTGGTTGTTTGATGCATACATATTTTAAAAATTAAAAATAGTGCTATCATATTTCATCAAGGTCAACCAAAATAAGGATATTTTGGAGAAACTCAGACATCTCTTCTTTTGTAGCTTCTTCTAGGAAGTAGATACATATTGAAAAAGCCTGAAGCTAAATAAATAAATTGGGTATACCAGATGGATATGTTGTTGATTCACTTCAAATGCATACTACTAAATTAACATAATGAGTACATTTTAAAAGAGGTGCACAGCAAATAAAAAACTTCATGTGCATATAAATGCTTATGAAGAGAGAGAGAGAAACGGCATATTATATATCCTATAGACTATCTCAGTGCTATACATTCATTACA